AGACTTGTCTCCCTTCTTGTATATGGGGATAATCAGTGACTTACACCAACCCGATGGGACTTCTTCTGATTCCCAGACGCTGCCTAGTACCTCAGTTAATCCGGACAGTAAGCTGTCTCCACCGTACTTAAATACCTCTGGCGTCATTCCATCAGGTCCCGCTGCTTTGCCTAGTTTCAGATTGGTGACAGCTTTAGTAACCTCAGTTAGTGACGGAGGACCTGTGTCTATATCCCATTCAGGGAGGTGTTGGATGCTCGGAAGGTTGAGCGTGGCTGTGGGCAAATTAAACTGCTCCTCATAATGCTCTTTCCAACGATCCAGTCGTCTATCCTGGGAGCTAATTATAGTGCCATTTTTTTCCGAGATTGTCTCACTAATGATTTGTCTTCTCCCACCCGTTTCCCTGATGAGTGTAAAGAGTTGCCTGGTGTTGCCTATCCTCGAAGCTTTCTCCATCTCTTTGGCTTTTGTCGCCCACCACTGTTCACGGTCCTTGCGGAGACTTTTCGTAAGTTTCCTCTTGTGCAGCTTTCGCTCCTCATTGAATTCGGAGCTCGCCGGAATAAGTCTTCTAGCATCTATCAGTTCGGATGAGGCGGTGGAGATCCAGTGGTTTTTACTCACCTTTGGGTTTACCTTATTCACAGCTTTTACAGCTGTATCTATGGCTGCCTGGATATTTTTCCAAGCTTCTTCAGGGTGAGCACAGCTGTCGAACACAGATATGTGTTTAGCTAGTTCTTCCTGAAATACGGATTTAGTTTCCTGATCGAGCTGGGGACGTGATGGTTTTACCGCCAGCTGTTTCCTACGTCCGTTCAGTCGTAAGCACACCCGAGCGCGGACCAGTGCATGGTCGGTATCTACGCACGTGTTCCAGAAGGAGCGACAATCTCCTACCGACCCACGCCAACGATAGCTTATTGCTATGTGGTCTATTTGTGTCCAGCGTTGGTTTGATGAAGGGGGTCTCCAAGTCAAACAGTGTTTCTCCTTGTGTTTGAAGTTAGTGCTTACAAGAAACAAATGATTATCAGAACAGAACTGTAGGAGACGGTCACCGTTGTCGGTTCGCTGGCACGGAACTCCATAGGTGCCACCGACATCCTTCTCAGATTGACACAATTTCCCTACTTGAGCATTAAAGTCACCAGCTAGAACGACTATGTCTGAGCGTTTAGCCTTTCCCACCAAACTAGACAGCTTTTGGTAGAACTCATCCTTCGTTTCATCTGAACTGCAGTCAGTGGGGGCGTAGGCGGAGATTACGAAAAGGCATCGGCGAGTAGTGCAGTCCTTTCTCCTTTTTACTGACCCGTTCGGACGGACAGCACACATTCGGCTATCTACCGGGATCCAGTCAAGTAATATCTTTCCTGCCCTAGTACTCAAAGCTATCCCTACACCAGTTAATCCTCGTGAACTAGCTGTGGCATCTCCTGACACCCTCAAGGTGAAATTTGCAGATTCATCCTGTTGGCCAGGTGGGGTTAGGTGAATCACCACACTTTGGTCTTGTATGCGTGTTTCCGAAACACAACATACATCAATGGCTCGGATGCTAGGGTCTTGGCTAGTGATGCTAGTGATGCGCCAAGCACATACCATACTTACAGACACTGATCGTCAACTGATTAAGTGCGATTTGGGCAGCCTGCATTCTATCGCACAGTAAGACCATATCGTCTGCATAGTCGGGGTCGAAAAGTCTATCTCCAGGTAGCAGATCTACACCACCTTCACACACATCCTTCAGAGCTGATTCCAGAATGTCATCGATGGCAAAGTTAAAGAGAAATAAAGAGATTGGGCAACCCTGTCTAATCCCACTGTTGGTTGGGAACAGTGATGATAGTTGGTTGTATGCCCTCACTCTACCCGGGGTGTTTCTGTAAAGGGCTTTCAAGATGTTAACAAATTTCTCAGGTACACCTATCTCTAACAGACAGTTCCAGAGCGCAGTTCTGTCTAACGAATCGAATCAAGAAACACAACGATCGTTGGCCTGCAATACGTGTGGCGGTGTTCCAACAACTGACGAAGGGTGAACACATGATCAATGCATCCACGACCTGAACGAAACCCAGCCTGCTCTTCGCGAATCAATCCCTCACGTAGTTTGCACAGCCTGAGAAGCAAGACAGCAGCCAATATTTTAGACGCGACTGGTAGCAGACTGATACCCCTGTGATTGTCACACGAATTACGTCGACCCTTTTTAAAGATGGGGACGATAATGGCTTCGTTCCACATTGATGGTACACTCTCTGTCTCCCATACCTTCCTGAACAACCCAGTTAGAGCAATTGTGAGAGTCTCGCCACCATCTTTAAAAAGAGCCGGGGGTAATTTGTCTGGGCCGGGCGCCTTATGGCGTTTCAGAACTTGGAGTTCCTTACGGACCTCCGCTTCGGTGGGTAGGTCGGTACTAACCGACCAAGGAGCACTGGGGCTAATGATAGCAGACACTGAAGCTGGTGGCCAGCTAAACTGTTTCCCGAAGTGCTCTGCCCAGCGTTTCAGGCGTCTTTTCAAGCTGGTAATTGGCGTGCCATCTGTCTCACAGACCGTCTCGCTGACACCTTGTTTCTTGCCACCGGTGGCTCGGATGAGTTGGAACAGCTTCCGACTGTTGCCAGACGCAGCAGTTGACTCCATCTTACACGCACGTTCTGACCATCAGGCTTCGCGGTCCTTACGTAAGCACTGTCTTATCTTGCGTGTGAGCGCCTTTCGCTTATTGTTGTATTCGCTGCCAGCCGGAATGGACCGGCGTTCATCCAGGAGTTGCAAGAAACTCGCAAAAAACCCAGTGGTTTCTAGCGGAGCATTCTTTCAAGCCGAAGGCGGCTACACTAGCCCTTTGCATGGCACCTTGCAGATGAAGCCAATGATCATCTATACTACTTGAGGGGTTGCTGGCAAGCATTGTTTTTAACTCATTCTGGTATTTCAAATAAGTAGCATGTGCTACTAGTTTGCTCACATCAACGTTTAGACGACGGCAAATCGCTAGACGAACTTGGCACACACTAACGCATGATCACAGTTCAGGCATGTGCTCCAGAAGGAGCGACTGTCTTGTATGCATCCTCGCCACCGGAAACTGACATCAATATGAACAACCTGAGTCGAAGCTTGATTCGCAGAGGGAGGATGCCAGGTAGCGCTACGGCGATGGCTGTGCCAGGAGTTGGTGCTGGTTAGAAATAGGTTGTGATCCGCGCAAAGCTGCAGAAGACGGTCCCCATTACCGACCTGCAACCATGTAGTCCCTATTGACCACCTAGACGATTTTCTTCTGAGCTTAGACGCTCGACCTGTGCATTCAAGTCCCCAGCCAGCACTACGATATCCCTCCGACCCGCCTGTTTCAAGAGATCGCTCAGTTGGTAGTAGAACTCATCCTTCATTGCATCCGGGCTGCAATCCGTCGGTGCATAGGCAGTAACAACAAACAGATACCGCCTATCTGGCCTACTACTCCTTACTTTGGTATAACCTTCCAGCCTCACAACACATAAACGACTGTTAATGGGAATCCAGAATAGCAATGCAGCTTCGGCTCTAGCGCTCAGTGCGACAATGACACCAGCTACGCCGGATCCCGACGCCACAGGGTCCCCGGATAAGCGCAGGTGGTACATACTACTAGAACTTCCAGATGGAGAGGATAGTCGAAGCACTTCACTGGGATCTTGAATGCAGGTCTCGGAAATGCACCAGACATCGATAGCGAGGCTTTCCAAAGTTCTTACCAACCCTGCCTGTTGTCTGATTTGCATCAGCGTCCGAAAATTGTAGGTGGCCAGCTTGAACGCGGCACGCGGTTTCAGGATATCTGTGTTGGATGTCACATTGGGGACAACCATTTTGAGGATTACTCACTAACATCTCGAAACGACACAGATAGGCTAGGAATCTAGGACAAAGGAGAAAGGCTGTCGAAGGTTAAGAAGTCAAGTTTAGCAAAGGTAAAATACAAGAAAGTATGTATAAAAATAAAAGTAAGGTAGGAAGGAGACAAGTTACTTGAGGCAACAATATTACTTGAAATCATTTTTCTCGAACGCGCGGAGAATTTCAATAATAGTTTGTTGTTTTACTTCATTTCTTGTGTGAGGGCTGAGATACTGCCCGGGCACCCAGACCGAAGCAGGTGGTGTTATTAAGGGACAACCCCACAAGCCTTTGACTTGGAGTCTAATCCGCAAGGCAGCGGAGCAGCGTCAGGAGCTGCATTCCATGGTTTCCGGTGACCCATATGGGTTCATACGCCATTTGATCCGACTGGATACTGGGGCCAATGTACCCATGATAAATGCTTTTAGTCTAACCGCTATCCAAACAACCTTCCTGACATGGTAGGACCTGCAGGGACATGAGTCCCAGTCAGTTTAGCATGTTGGGTCATTGCGGTATTCAAGCCCGACCACCACGGCAAGGTAGCAGTTGTCGGCCGGGACTTCCATCACTTCCGTCTTCTCTATGTTCACTTGAAGTCCTGCCCTCCCTGGCCACTTCATCTGCAAGTTTGTCGGTTTTCGTCTGTAGGTCCCCGAGTTTGTGACAGTAGATATAAATCGCCCACGAAATCCAGATCTTCTAGAATCTTGTTATCTATACAACGTATAAAAGCTAGTTGACTAATGAGATTATGAGTTTTGGTGGGTTAGGAGATATGTGAAACACGTAAGGCTAGCACCACCACCACCAATGTTCCATTAGCCATTTCCTTGGTAACTTAAAATGATAAACGTTTAAGCGAGATTTTACGTTAACTTTTCTGTCACCTCGTTCTCTTGTTTGAGAAAGTATGACATAAACCACCGAAGGAAATTTGGCTCATGAGCTGAGATTTGACTTCGTTTTCAGTCACTATCCATTACATTTTTTACAACTAATCAATCAACAACACAATACAGCATGAGGCGAAAGATTTTGCAACTGACAGTCAAAAAAATTAATCGATGGTGCAAAGAATGAACATACTTTACCTTGAGAAGTTCTCCACAGCTAACTTATGCGATGATTGAGCTAAATCTGCAAGATTATGCATTTCAGCCAGTGCTTCAATGCCTAAACAATTTGTTATATCCAAATGACTTTTCATGAACTCGACGCAAGCTTTAACAGCTACCGGGTAATCAAGTAAGCTAGCAGCTAGAAAGACATCCTGTACTGTAGCCTCGGTTATTTCCAAAATTCCAAGGTAAACAAAGTCAAGGAGTCGGCGAAGTGCCCAAGGTGATATATGATCTAGGGTAACTCGGGATGTTTGTTGTTCCTTATAAGGAGATGAAAACATTGCCTGAAAAATAAATAGAAAGTGTTTATTTAGATATGATATACTCTTTCGATGAAGACATCAAGATGATATCACACAAAATTTCAAATTATGGATATCGTAAATTCAACATAAATTTTGTAAAATGTGATTTGCATGGGATTTATAGAATGACAAATAATGATCCTGTCTGGCTACATGAACAAGACTGAGATAGGGAACTAATGACAGTACATGTATTAATTGAAAGCGGCTGTAATCTATATGTTTTATTTAATCAGTAGATATATATTTTCTAGTAGTGTATTCTATTCTGTAATGATTAATTTCACTAGTAATACTGAATTCTTAATAAATTTTAAACAGCCTAATATCAAAAAATTGATATTTTTGTATAATTTTCTAATATTTCACAAAAGGTCTTTGAACAAAAGCTAACTGAAGGAGGCATTCCTGTTCTCCACCTGTCTTTCTAAATACGTACATGGAAATGAACAATTTTCACTCAATATGCTAAGTAGTTTATACTTATTTGACCAACACCATCTGGTTGGAGTAGTAGCCTAGATCACACAGTAGTTGTTGACTCTCAATCACCATGTAAACTAAACAAAAAAACTTTACTTGGACATGTTATACAATCTACTTTATAGACACAGCGATATTCAACATTCCAAACAAGAGTTCAAAATAAAAGGATGAAAATTAGTTTTAACTCATGCTTTTGACTATTCGAATTACAGGGAAGCTTCGTGAATTTTATCTTTATGTTATGGATAACAATAGAATCCCATAAAACGGTGACAGACAAAATGTTAAGACCATTTTGTTTTTTCTGATCCAACGTAAGGTAACTTGAGGACATTTAAAATAGCGTATTGAAGTAGAGGAAATGTTTTGATTTTAGCAAAACCTACCAAGAAGTATGCTGAACTAGCAGCTAGTACTGCTTTGTGACACGGAAGCTCTTCTTCACCGGCGCACAAGATGACATCTGTAAAAAGTGACTTGTCTCGAAATGATTGCAGCAATTTTGATGTTTGAATAAGCTGCTCAGAAATCACAGTTCCTTCTAGCAATTTCTCGCTTTCCATATTTAATAAATATCCGTGGAAAATCCAGTAGGACCATGTGAATCCACATACACTAAAATTTCATAAGAAATAACACTGTTGATACAATTATGTCCAGTTTTATGGCGAATATGTGAGTAATAAATAAAATCTACACTGTATAGACCGTAAAAGCATAACGGAGCACGATGTGGAGAAATTAGCAATAGGCAAATAATGATAAGCACAAAATCTTTACGATAAATTAGATTTATTTGACAAAATCACAGTGATTCAGTATTATTTACTGATGACAACTGGAGCACAATATGTTGCCCGTAATCTTATTAAAACATTCACTTGAGTTTTTAAATTCGTTTAAATAATTCTAAGTGATGGAAATAATACTCTACAACAGTCCCCAAGTTCACCAAACTTATGTAAGTGATTAAACAATAGATTTCAATTACTTACCCAATCATAACTGTTGGGCATTAATAGCTTAAAACCATTATAGTGACTCTCAAATAGGGTCATCAAGTCCTGTGGCGAGTTGAACTGCCGCACATATGTGCAAAGTTCTATGTCGAAAACGGACAGACATTTAGTCCTGGTTTTGAACTAGAAGTACGCATTGAGTGCAAAACTCCTGAACAGATAGTAAGCAACTATAGAAATCTTTAAATATTCCCATTTATAATATTAGAACAAGACATATAAGCGAACAATATTGTTTTCAATTAGATCTTCTTCAGGCTTTACTCTAATTTACATGGACTTATATACAAAAAATTTTAACCAATGACGGTGATTTGTGGATCAAATAATAATAATGTGGTAAATGTTTTGAATGAAGTCAATAACGATGATTATAATGATAATAAAATATTGATAGTAAGGTTTATACAGTTGATAAGAATAGCAAAGATAGTATATGCATATACGTGTATATGTAGACAATTCAATAAATAAATAGATTAGGTCAAATCAAATGGAACGAACGAAAAAAAAAGTACGAAGGAGATGGATGATGAGAAAGGGTGGGAGGGTTTTGAATAGAATTGTTATGTTGCTGCTGCTGAGTGGTTAATAGTAGTTTTCCCCGTCGCCAAATTGTTATGTTAGAACAAGACATAAGCGAACAATATTGTTTTCAATTAGATCTTCTTCAGGCTTTACTCTAATTTACATAGACTTATATATATATAAAATTTTAACCAATGACGGTGATTTAGTGGATCCACTAATTTACATAGACTTATATATATATATATATATATTTATTTTTTTTTTTTTTTTTTTTTATTTTTGATTTACAGCTTGATTCCACACTGTATTTTCGGTACAAGTATGGAATTTTCAGCATGGATATCGGTAGCCCAAATTTTGCAGGCCGACCATAGATATCAGGTGTGCGTCGGTGCGGGCTCGAACCCCGGACCATGTGCATGGTCGGCGAGAGTCCTAACCACTGTGCCACCGACGCACATATATATATATATATATGTCTATGTAAATTAGAGTAAAGCCTGAAGAAGATCTAATTGAAAACAATATTGTTCGCTTATATGTCTTGTTCTAAAATTGTTATGTACTCGTCGCTAAATTATTGTTATGTACTGGTCGAGAATGTAATAGTCCTGACGCAAGAAGGCGGAAATCAGAAGACCACTAGGTTTGCGATGATACTTCTATTTTCCAAACACAAGGAGAATGCAAAAGTGGTATCATACCAAAGTAAGTAGGTAAGTCACACAAGATTGTGTGAGCGAAATATATATGACCATCCAGACAAGTGTGTGAACAAATCAATAGAGTCTTAACATGAATGGTTAATTATAACGGAGTGTCGATCCAAATATACATAGCAAAATATAGCAGACATGTCAACAACCACCATATATGGATATATGTCACCAAGCAACGGACTGTCAACAAACACTCATATTATATTGTATATAATATAAGGGGAATATACATTGTTAAGGAGACAGGTTCATCAAAATGAAATGGTCACAGACTAAGAGGGCAAACAGAAAGAGAGAAAACCATATATATATATATATATATATATATATCAAGAATTCACCTAGGCCAAGGGATAGACAAAGGTAGAACAAATTTCTTTTGTATACAAAGACTACGATTGTTCTCTCGAATTCCCATAGCTTAGGCTCAGTATAAAAGACAGGTTCTGATTCCGTTCGAAAGACTCGATGGAATGCGATAAGTAACTTTGAAGGCACTATTTTTGTCCATTTGGTGACCACTATCAATCAAATGAGCCAAAATAGAACTTCGTATGGATTTTATTTGACCTTTTCCGAACCGTGAAGGAAGATGCTCATTAATGAGTTTGTTAAGCTGTCTAGTTGTTCGCCCTATATAGCTCTCTCCAGAGGAGCAACTAAATTTATAGATACACATGGAAGTGGCACAGCTAGGTAGCTTATCTTTTACTTAAACAATCAAAATTGGTCGGCTGGAAAATGACAAACAGAGGTTAGCGGCAGTATAAGTCCGTTTTATCGCTCTCGATAATCTCTGATGTAAGACTTCACTAGCCGCGTCCCCATTAAATTGCAGTTTCATGAACAGTTGTTTCTTTTTAACTGTTGTCGGTTTTTCTTTATTGTACTTGGCATTCATGTCTCCTTACAAATCTACTAGGATAACCTTCCCGACCGAAAGCTGCTACCTTGACGTGGTGGTCGGGCTTGAACACCGCAATGACCTAATCAAGCTATACTGGCTGAGACTTATGTCTCTTGAGGTTCTACCATGCCAGGCAGGTTGTTTGGATAGCGGTTAAACAAAAAGCAGCTACCCAATCCAACATCATGTCCAATACAAAATTACAAAATTTCATGCCGGATCGGCCGTGGCCCGGATTAACAACGACCGCGCTTCCTGCTGCCGTGTCACAGGGCGGGAGTGATAAATCTGCTACTGAGACACACCAAACAAAAAAGAACGAACAAAAACAGGCCGCGTGTGACCGGCCTCAAGCAGTTGTCCCCTGGGCTCTGCGGTCACGCAACCAACTTCCACGGTGTGGGCAGCCGGGAAGTAACAATCGCCCTCACAATCCGAAATGCACACGAAACCTCTCTATTACTCACTCATCTTTGTCTTCATCTTCATCTCTATCATCTTGCCTTCCTTCCACTGATGCAACTCCTCGACTTGATAGCTCTCCACTTCCTCTCCACTCTGCGTCCACTAAAAACGATGGAAGCCAAAAAACCACCACCGACAGCCTCTTAAAGCCGCGCCACCAATTTCATATAGGAGCTCTTAATGTTAGGACACTTTGCCAAATAGGACAACAAGCATCACTAGCCAAGACCCTGGCATCACGAGCCATTGATGTATGCTGTGTTTCAGAAACACGCATACAAGACCCAAGTGTGGTTATTCACCTAACCCCACCTGGCCAACAGGTTGAATCTGCAAAATTCACCTTGAGGGTGTCAGGAGATGCCACAGCTAGTTCACGAGGATTAGCTGGCGTAGGGATAGCTTTGAGTACTAGGGCAGAAAAGACATTGCTTGACTGGATCCCGGTAGATAGCCGAATGTGTGCTGTCCGCCTGAACGGATCAGTAAGAAGGAGGAAGGACTGCACTACTCGCCGATGCCTTTTCGTAATCTCCGCCTACGCCCCCACTGACTGCAGTTCAGATGAAACGAAGGATGAGTTCTACCAAAAGCTGTCTAGTTTGGTGGAAAGGCTAAACGCTCAGACATAGTCGTTCTAGCTGGTGACTTTAACGCTCAAGTAGGGAAATTGTGTCAATCTGAGAAGGATGTCGGTGGCACCTATGGAGTTCCGTGCCAGCGAACCGACAACGGTGACCGTCTCCTACAGTTCTGCTCTGATAATCATTTGTTTCTTGTAAGCACTAACTTTAAACACAAGGAGAGACACTGTTTGACTTGGAGACCCCCTTCATCAAACCAACGCTGGACACAAATAGACCACATAGCAATAAGCTATCGTTGGCGTGGGTCGGTAGGAGATTGTCGCTCCTTCTGGAACACGTGCGTAGATACCGACCATGCACTGGTCCGCGCTCGGGTGTGCTTACGACTGAACGGACGTAGGAAACAGCTGGCGGTAAAACCATCACGTCCCCAGCTCGATCAGGAAACTAAATCCGTATTTCAGGAAGAACTAGCTAAACACATATCTGTGTTCGACAGCTGTGCTCACCCTGAAGAAGCTTGGAAAAATATCCAGGCAGCCATAGATACAGCTGTAAAAGCTGTGAATAAGGTAAACCCAAAGGTGAGTAAAAACCACTGGATCTCCACCGCCTCATCCGAACTGATAGATGCTAGAAGACTTATTCCGGCGAGCTCCGAATTCAATGAGGAGCGAAAGCTGCACAAGAGGAAACTTACGAAAAGTCTCCGCAAGGACCGTGAACAGTGGTGGGCGACAAAAGCCAAAGAGATGGAGAAAGTTCGAGGATAGGCAACACCAGGCAACTCTTTGGACTCATCAGGGAAACGGGTGGGAGAAGACAAATCATTAGTGAGACAATCTCGGAAAAAAATGGCACTATAATTAGCTCCAGGATAGACGACTGGATCGTTGGAAAGAGCATTATGAGGAGCAGTTTAATTTGCCCACAGCCACGCTCAACCTTCCGAGCATCCAACACCTCCCTGAATGGGATATAGACACAGGTCCTCCGTCACTAACTGAGGTTACTAAAGCTGTCACCAATCTGAAACTAGGCAAAGCAGCGGGACCTGATGGAATGACTCCAGAGGTATTTAAGTACGGTGGAGACAGCTTACTGTCCGGATTAACTGAGGTACTAGGCAGCGTCTGGGAATCAGAAGAAGTCCCATCGGGTTGGTGTAAGTCACTGATTATCCCCATATACAAGAAGGGAGACAAGTCTTCCTGTGATAATCACAGAGGGATTAGCTTGACTAATATAGTATCTAAAGTCTTAGGCTCAATAATCATGCGTAGACTGAGTGGTGCTCGGGAAGCACAAACACGAGAGAGCCAGGCAGGCTTTAGACCAGGAAGAGGGTGTATTGATCATATCTTCACCCTCCGACAGATTCTAGAACATAGGCATTCCTACCGGCGTCCAACAGTCATTATATTTCTTGACCTAAAGGCAGCATTCGACTCTGTCGATCGGGAAGTTCTCTGGAGATGCTTGGCTGTAAAGGGAATTCCGAGAAAATATATTGCACTGATTAAGGCACTCTATTCGTACTCATACAGCCAGGTGAGGGCTTACGGCGAGCTGTCATCTGAACTGATGACGACCAGTGGTGTCCGTCAAGGATGCCCATTATCTCCTTTTCTATTCAACTTCATCATAGATGTGTTAATGGACTTAACCCTAGGTGACTTCAGCGACTCAGGGATTGACTTGCTACCGGGGAATAATCTCGTTGACTTGGAATATGCAGACGATATAGTCCTTCTAGGCGAAGACGCTGACGAAATGCAGAGTCTTCTAAACACCTTGAGCAGCAATCTACGAATGTTTGGCATGCGATTCGCTCCCGCCAAATGCAAGATGATGTTACAGGACTGGACTACATCGACGCCTAGTTTAAAAATAGGAAGTGAAGTGGTAGAGCACGTTGACCGCTTCACTTATTTGGGAAGTACCATCAGCCCCAACGGGCTGATCTCTGACGAAATCTCAGCACGAATACAAGGGGCTCGTTTCGCATTTGTTAGTTTACGCCGACTCTGGCGTAGACGAGATGTTCGACTATCGACCAAAGGGCGGGTGTACTGCTCATCAGTCCGCTCCGTCCTCCTTTATGGTTGTGAGACCTGGCCACTGAGAGTGGAAGACATGAAAAGACTAGCTGTCTTTGATCATAGGTGCCTGCGTTCTATTTCCCGTGTAAAGTGGCATAATAAGGTGAGCAACATGGAGGTTAGGCGTAGAGTTCTAGGTAAACAGGGGAAATCAATCGACGAAGTCGTGAAGCTACAACGACTGAGATGGTTAGGACATGTGTTACGTATGCCAAGCCATCGCCTCCCTCGACGAGCAATGTTAGCGGATATAGGGTCAGGCTGGAAAAAAGCTAGCGGCGGTCAAACAAAAACTTGGCATCAGTCAATGAAATCCACAACAGTTGGTCTAAGCCACGTAGGAAGGTGTAGACTTCCAGGCTGGGGTCCTCGGGACGGTAAAAATCTATGGTTGGAAACAATTGGTGACATGGCTCAAAATCGTTCTCAGTGGCGCAGATGCATCCACTCCCTGTGACTTATGATCTCCAATGAAACTGTTTTGTATTTCTTTATTACTCCTTTGTCTCACACCTCTGCTCACTGTTTCTATTATGCTTTTCTTGTACTTTCTTCTCTTGCTTCGCGTGCTACACGGAATGTGGCGACTTGAACTTCCGCACATTTGTGCAAAGTTCTATGTCGAAAACTGACAAACAGACAGGATAACCTATTTGGACCAAAGCATTTTGGATGTATCCTAGCTCATATTCTAGGGAGTCATTTGTACAAATACGTCTTGCTCTATTCGTCAGGTATCTGACCAAATTGATTTTGTAAATTAGAGTAGAGCCTGAAGATCTCAATTGAAAACAATATTGTTCGCTTATATGTCTTGTTCTAAAACTATAGAAATCTAAATACTTGTTCTGTATGCCATATAGGGAATACGCTTACATTTCAATGAAGGGTATTTATTTGAGACCAGCATTTATTAATAAATCAACAAAACAAATAGAAAACGTGAAAATAACGAATGAGTTACCCTGAATCACATGGGTCAGCTGGAAATCTTAGTTAAAATGGCAGTGAATTCCACACTAGATAAGTATAGCTTGACTCAATGCGACAGTTGGCATATTTATGCCTCGATAAGACTCCATAAATTAATTAACGAGGGAAATTCTCACACATGGAGCTTGCAGTGAGCTACACTGAACAGATTGTCAAAGTTCCTTGAAAATAGTAATTGAATGAACTTCTCTGACACTATTTAACAAGCATAGGAAACTAAGCTGCTTATCTTTCACTCAGATTGATATACACCCATAAGCACACTAGTGAGAACAACCTTAGGATATATAATGACTATTTGTGAAAAAAAAGTTCACTAAGACAGCGCCGTAAGTTATTTCTTGAGCTACTAAAGTGACCTCTACTTATTAGGCCTGAATTGCCTGATTAAATCACTTTTTGGAGCGCTACATTTTCCACCGATAATTTTATTTTTTATTTATTTATTTATTTATTTTTTTGATTTACAGCTTGATTCCACACTGTATTTTCGGTACAAGTATGGAATTTTCAGCATGGATATCGGTAGCCCAAATTTTGCAGGCCGACCATAGATATCAGGTGTGCGTCGGTGCGGGCTCGAACCCCGGACCATGTGCATGGTGGGCGAGAGTCCTAACCACTGTGCCACCGACGCACCAGTAAGACAAACTAATATGCAATACACCTAATAAAAAGTACGTGTCATCTAATATCGGTTCGGAAGGCGGATAAGATCTTAATATCATAAATTACATTTGCATCCCATGAAAGTTATTTAACCCCATCTTGAGAAAAGTGATATTGGATGCTAATTATTCGTACAGGAAAACTAAGCTCATATTTGCATCATACCATTGGAAACCTCAACGGATCTCCACAAAAAGAAACCATAATTAATTCAGTTTATTGGTTTTTTATAAACGTCTAATGGTCGACATAAATATTTACATGGATACATATATACATATTGGTTTTTTTATAAGAAACGCGTATACAAAAAAGAATTCGAACTACTACCTTTGAGAAAATTAGGCAATAATCAAATATAAACTAAATATCCAATGCTTGGAATTATTTAATTATATAAGAACCTCCACCGAACCAAATAGACAGCCTGTCGACGGACGTAATTTTGAGTGACCGCGAATGAGATAAACAAGCTAACCAAATATAACCAGACAGAAGTAAAGCATACATACATCGACCTTGACAAGACCTTGGAACTAAAGAGTTCCTTAGCTCACTAAAACAGCTTAGATTTCCATCACAATACTATGTCTGTTATCTTAAGCTTCTAACAAATTGTATTTCACAAAATTTGTTTCAGCTGCCATAACAATATACGGTACATATTCACAAGGATGTATATAAGTCCCTAGTATTTGATGTCGACAACACTCGGATTACAGTCATTAATTTGTAACGTCCCGCATTCGCGGTGCATTCTAATGCGTAATCTCAAAGTTCATTGAAATAACCCTTTGTGAATCCAAAGTAACGCTTTCGAAAATAAATTTCATCGCGTAACCACATATTTGAAACTTAGGGAACAATATTTCAACTAAATTACAGACAGAATCGTCATTGCTGAGGATAGGCATCTAATATGCAGACATCTAAAGACTAAACAGCCAGTGTCCATTCATTGAATAAATTACACTGTATACGAATAATTACGAAACAAACTTCGAATAAATACTTAGGACAATATTTCTCACACAGATATCAACGAAATACATCAACTAATACTAAAAATGAACCGCCTTCCTTAAATATTCACAAGCCAACGAAAACTGCTGCTAAACATCCACGGAAACCAATTTCATATTCTCACCATACCCTGAAATATGTGGATAACTTTGTTGATAAGTAGACCTTGTATACTGCTTGTTCAATCGTAAGGTCTACTTACTTACCTAGGGCAACTACCTGTTATCCTTGAATAGAAAGAAGTTTTGTTTGATCATAGTATTATTAATAAATATATAAATAAATTTATTCTCATGGTACAGTACATGAGGGACGCCAGTTTACAGGCATCATCAGATTGTTACAGAAATAGAACTATATTATTCAGTCACATTTTACAATAGATAGCAAAATATGTTTAAAATGTACGCTGGAGATTATACATACACTTGATAAGATAAGATAAGGTAAGCTTTATTCCAAATCAGTACTTGTGATACAGAATGGAATTCTCAGCATTTTTACTACAATATTGCATTCAGTTAGTACATTAACAATAAATAAAGTTCTACATAGATTAAAGTTATCTCAGTCAGTTTTGACAACGACATATTAGCATGTCGGTGGCAAAGCCAAAATTTAAACAGAGTGTTTGAAGGTGTTAGAAAAGTAGATACTACTAGCATATTTACTGGCGCAAGCAATAGCAAAATGGTCGAGATATACAGAGTGTGAAAGAACGAACAAGAATGTTTTAAGTAGAGTTTGTAAGGAAGAGAGAAGCAAAACAGCACATTACAAAAATAAATAGAGAAGGGAAAAAAAGGTAGAGAGAAAACGTTGTACCTGTAAATGATGTGAGTTGGAAAGACGAGATCCCCTTGTTCTACTGACTATTTAATAAGTTAAAGGTTTCCCGTCTAACGCTTTCTTTATCGCACAGAACTCGAGCTAGGTAGGATATGGATGAGTCTTTGTACTTGCTAGTGCGGGCATATAGTTTCCTATATAGGCTTCTGGTTTTCCCTGAAGAGATACGTGGGAGAGTTGTGAATGTAGAGGGTGTTGTGAGTTAGATAAAATGGTTTTTGCCCATTTTTCACATGAGTCCATATGCCTGTCCACCAGAATATTAACAAGCGGGCTAAGTGGCAAACTGCTTACCCTGCTGACAACCTTTAACATCCTGAGTAATAAGGTATAGTCTTTTTTCAATAGCCCAGGAAAGACTAAGGGGGAACAATAGAGAATAATAGGCAGAATACGGAAGTTAACAAATTGTAGGAGTAAGGCTTGGGTTACACCAGAATGTCTTAACTTCTTGATGTAGAAGGTAAGACGGAATATTTTCTTGGAAATCGTCAAGATACGAGACGACCAGGAAAGATCAGAAGATAGAGTGACGCCTAGGTATTTAACTTCCGACTTGGTTTCAGTTTCAGTGCCATCTATGTTGCACATCTCGTGAGTCCTTACAAGTTTGTTTAGGTCAGATTTGTGCCTAAAGGTGAAATTAACTGTTTGGCATTTGGAGGAGTTTAAGGTGAGACCGTTTTCCTTGGGCCATTGGCTGATTTCTGATAAGAAGCCATTTAGTTTAGAGCAGTCACTTTGACATTTGACGGGTTAAGATACAGTTTGGTCATCAGCATATTTGACAAAGTTAATGTCATTTGAAGATGGTGGGTCACGTAGAAAGAATGAAAAGAGAAGTGGGGAGAGTACAGGACCTTGGGGGACACCAGCTTCAGTGAGCACAGCAGAGGAGGATTCGCCTTTGTATACGGTGTACTGCGTTCTGTTTTAAAAGTAGGAATGCAACCAGTTAGTGACCCAGGACTCGGTTTGTGTCATGGAGAGCTTATTTAGCAAGAGATATCTAGGTACAGAGTCGAAAGCAGAAGTGAAGTCAAGAAACGTGCAGCGGACATATTTTGCACCTTTGTCTAATGATGAGACAATACTGTTGTGTAAGACGGCTGCAGCGTCTAAAGTACTCCTACCCTGTCTGTAGGCAAATTGTTTGGGGTCTTCGAAGCTTTTAAGGGAGGGTTCAAGTTTAAGAAGTACTAGTTTTTCCATGAGCTTTAGAAACGGGGAAGTGATGGCAATGGGTCTGAACCTTACGTTTTTGCTGTTGCCAGATTTAGGGAAAGGGACTATTTTAATGTCTTTCCATGGAACAGGTACAACGTTTTCGGAGAAAGAAGCATTTAGGATATTAGTTAGAGGAGAGCATAAAGCATCTGCACATTGTTTTAGAACATATGCAGGTATGCCATCAGGGCCAAGACTATGTGAGGGCTTAAGAGTTTTAAGGCATTTTAAAACGTCAAGAGTGTTAAAGTCCTGGAAGTTATCAGCTACAAGATTAGTAACGTTAGAAGTGGTTATAGTAGAAGGAGACCGTATAAAAGAAAGATTAAGAGAATTAACATCACAAGAGGGAAAAACATTACATCGCTTACTATTGGCAGTAATTTCATTGAAAAATTTCCACAGATAAATGTTAATCCCAGTAGTATAAAACATCCTTTTGCACTTATATACAATCATTTCTGTACATAGTCGGAAAAGTCTGCTTGATTGTCGGTGAGTTCAATACAACAGGAAATATAGAAGTATTGTCTTCGCATTAACAAAAAAAACCAGGTCTTTGGTGGATGGGTTATAAGTGCCTGGGAAAAAAATAAAGCTTGAAGTCAATTTTCATACATAATTTTGTCGTGTGCAGAATCCTTGAATTATAGTTCATTGATGTGTTATTTTGAAATCAGTGATATGTTTATCTCATTTGATCTGCAATGTCATTGTTGGGAGTAAAATACATAAGCTTTAGACGCATTAATTAATGGATTTCTACTGCTTGTGGGTATTTACTTCTCGTGAGGAAGGTTTTTGAATTTTAGTTGTTCCGACAGGAGTTGTGGATATTGACTGCTCAGCAACATTATGGATATAAGTTCATCACATTATCTTAGGAATGTTGGGTTGTAGTTGGTGAGGCATATATGATGTCCGACGAGCGTACATCTGTCCATGTGATGTTGTGGTGAGTTATATCTTTTTCATGTTGTCGGTTTATGTCCATTTTATTCCACTTATTGTGTTGGGTAGAAGTTTTACAAACGAAACTTCTTGTCTGTTTGAGGGTAAGTATCTTAATCGTTAATGTTTTATCTAAAATTATAAATATAGGCAAAAACAACAGGTGTAGTATTTAAGCTTATACATTAAATGGACCTATAATTTCGGAGGCTCTCAGATAGGAACTAGACTACTGTCGTTTGCAAACTCTTGTAGTTTGTCGTTAAGCACTTTTTTGAAGGAGGCCAATGTACCTGCTTGACGCATTTCCATTGGTAGTTTATTCCATATCTGTGCATACCTAATCAAATAAAACTTTTGCCTGGTAGCTGTTTTACATTGTTCGATAGCTACTGTACCCTTAGTGTGTCTTAGTTTGTAGCCACTGTCATCTGAAAGTCGAATGCCATTAGTAGAGGTAAAAACTAAGTGGTTTAGAAGCTTATAGTAAAGTGTTAAGTTTAGTCTCAGGCGTCTTAGCCATAGTGTTTCTAATCCTAGGGTGTCACATCTAGTGGAGTAGTTCGCACCATTTTCGGTTCCGAGTAATTTTGACGTGAAGTACCTCTGCACTCCCTCGACTTTCAATTTGTCCTCTATGCGTATACTACTATACATGAATGAACAGTAATCAAATAAAGGACGCACACAAACCTTGTACAACAGAATTCTGGACTCATTTCTGTAAAAGTTCCTGAGTAGAAAGCCGATACTTGTTTGGAGATATGTTCAGAAAATGATAAGTCATGTGAGTATTTCAGTCCTAGGTCCAATACAGATTCCAGTCGTAAGAGTGCATGGCCTTGAATTGTCAGGTCAAGTTCTAAATTGTTGCAACCTATGCAGAGCCAGCCACATTTGTCGACATTAAACTGGAGTTGCCAGGTGTCACACCATCTATCCATTTTTTCTAATTCTTGCTGTATGGCGTTTACTGTTATTCCGAGATCTGTGTTCTTGCATTTATAGGTCACTTTTAAGTCATCTGCATATAGTACTGGTTTACCAACACTAAAGCACTCATCGATACTGTTTATATATATTATGAATAGGAGTGGACCTAATACACTTCCCTGGATTACACCACTACTCACTGGTTTAGGCCTGGAGATTATCGAGCCAACTTTTATTATCTGATTCCTGTCACAGAGAAATGATTTCATCCAGCTCAGGGGAGGGTCACATATCCCTAGTGAGCATAACCTGCGGACTAGCAGATTATGGGGTACTCTATCGAAGGCTTTTGTTATATCGAAATATCGCACAAATACTAG